TATATATATATATATATATATATATATATATATATATATGATTTCTAAAATAATTATTTCATCAGAAACAAAACAAATCCAAAAAGGAATTTAGACATGAATTACACAGTCTTTTGAGTGTTTTATGAGGACTCTTTGTACAAAGTGAATAGTTTTTGGGGTAAGTTGTCTATCATTGCATAAAGCTTTGAGGGCTTCCTTTTTTATTTATTTATTTTTACCTTTTGCAAGTAAAGGACTGTTCCCTTTAGTACAGCATAAAAGGTTTTCCATCCTCGCTTTCCTCTTGGAGCTAGAAAGGAAAAATAATGGAAAACTGTATTAGGCAGAAATTAGCATTATAGAAAGAGACCCTAAATGATCAACATGATTATTGTATTTCAATGTTCCTGTTTTATTGGCTACCAAAACTAGGAGTAATGAGGACGAAAATTTTCTTGAGTCTTACTGTACAACAGGCCGTGTTCTAAAAATGTTTTACACGCATTACCTCGCTTAATCATGACCATAATCCTGAAGGCTAGGTGCTAGTACTCTTGCTCTTTACAGAACTGAAGCACAGAAAGGTAATCTGCTCATGGTCCTCTAACGAGGAAGAGGAGGAGGAGGAAGTGGAGACGACGAGGGGGAGGAGGAGGGATCTGAACCGGACAGCATGGTTCTACAGCCTGCACTCTAGTAAAGATGACTTAAAGACTGGGAGAGCAGAAGAGGCATACTGGAAGTAGATATTAATGTAAGACAAAGTTTAAAAAGCTCACGTATCAGGGTATTTCATGGCTTCGCCAAAGTTTCTAGGGATCATAAGAAACAAGTCTCAGAATATAAAGGATTCCTTTTGGCATTTCTCCCACACACCTACCAATCAGATTATAACTTTAATTATTCTTACTTCTATGACAACCTGTAATACCTCTGCTACAGAATCTGCTGCACTGCAACATAATTTTTTGTCTAAATTTCTCTTTCGTTAGATTATGAATGACCTGAGAGCAGGTATCCTTCATCTTTAGCATTCACAGAACTTGGCACAGAGCAAGCAGACATTAGGCACCCTCATAATAATTCTCCAAATGAATTTTCTTTCAGAAGCCCTTTTATTCCTTTTGTTTCTGTTTTCCTGGACTATAAAGTATATAGAATTTCTCTATTGACTTATAGAAACTTTTACAGACTGTCCTAAAACAAAAGGACAGATAGCAAAACAGTTTACTATTTAAGCTTATTCTTTTTTTTTTTTTTTTAAAGATTTTATTCGGGAATCGGGGGAAGGGGAACAGACAAGTTGCTGTTGTTTTGTTCTTCAGTCTAGTTGTGGAGGACGTTGCTTCACTGGCTCAAGCTGGCACCATCATTGCGCTCTTCCAGGGCGAGGCACATCAGTCACCGGCTTCTGGACGGCCGCTCAC